GGAAAGAGTTGAGGTGTGCATGATCAGCTCATGGACATCCTTGATTGGTTGCTGATGAGGTAACAGGTTGGTATTTCAGGGGTCAACAGCATCAACCTCCTGGGGTCTTTGTGCTGGTGATCAGCATGCAATTAACTTCTTCTATCTGGTAGGGGTTTAGTATCAATAAAACATACAAGGATATGGCTCAGAATATTATCTATGGCCCTTGAGGAGGAACTAAAGGTACTTGACTTTTTTTATGGCTAAACTACCATATTTTTTTTTTAAACTACCATAATTTTGTCTTACATGACTGTTTTCCTTTGTTTCTGCATTTTCTCATTTCTCAGGTTAAATCTGCTCTTTGGTGGACTTCCCTAATGGTACAGTTGTTAAGACTCCACTCTTCCATTGCAGCAGACGCAGGTTCGATCTGTGGTCAGGGAATTAAGATCCCGCATGCCGCGCGGCCAAAACAAAAAAACTACTCTTTAGAGTTCGGGTAAGGCCTAGGAGGCTATAGCTTTTCTGCAAACAAGAGGCGGGAGACTCGGAGAGAGTGGGGTAATCTGTCCCCAGGAAGGCCCTGCAGGGTCTACTTGGTTTCACATGTACCAGGCACTACTGGGGATGGAAGAAAGCTATAAATCACATTACCTGCCCTCGAGTAGCTTTAAGTCTATGTGGAGAGCTAAGCAATACATATGTCCATAAGAGATCCCTTGATTCTTCACTCCCTAAACTTACTCCCATGCCAGTTTTCCTATTCTGATTAAAACACTTCTGTTCTCCCAGTTGCTTGGGTCAAAAATCTAGGGATTCTGTTTGATTCCTCTATTTCTCTAACTCCAAAACATTCATGCATGCACATATATTTAAATCATCAGTAAGTTCTTCTAATTATTACCCAGTCCAAACACTTTTTACCACCCTGGTCCAGGTCACCATCATATCTTGGTTGCATTATTATAATAACCTCCTTATTTGTTTCTTTGCTTCAATTCTTGCCTTTCCACATGCTCTTCTCCAAATGCAAGAATAAATAGACAACATATTAAATCAACTATACTTCAATTAAAAAAAAATTTTTTTAAGGAATTAATAAGACAGTTGTTTCCTTCACAGAGTTTACAATATAGCTCCAATTGGTGGAGCCTAATTATTAACTAACAGAAACATACATTAATGCACATTATAGCACCCCATTCTGCAGAGTCCTGGGCTGAGCCAATCTCCCAATGTCCCTTAGAGATGCTTACAACAGGAAGTCCCAAAATCTAGGGGGGGGGGGAAAGTGTAGAGTTAATCACAGTTCAGAGATTACTGCTGAAAAAACTATGGAAGGAAAAGTAAAGTAACAGAAAGTGGCAGAAAGAACAGGGGCTTTTGAGTCAGACAGACCCAGGTGTGAACTCTAAGTGTGACACTTACTTAGTTCCATGACTTTAACAGCAGTCAACCACAGAATAAACATGATTGACGATACCAATAATACGGAACACTTGCAACTTTTACCCAAGGTAATAAATGCCAGTCTGTCTGACTCTAAAAACTATTCTCAATGATTCAGAGAGATGATATGATAGAGTTAAGGAAAGAGAAATTGACAATTCGGAAAATATATTTATATTTGACGAGACACTCAAATTCTACTGCTTCAGCATTACAGCATCTAGTGTATAAGATGCTGTTTTGTTTTCCTAGTCATTACTCATGAACAAAATATTGCCCAATTCCAAAGGTCACCACTCACATTATAGTCTGTAAACTTTTTTTTTTTTTTTTTTTTTTTTTTT